TTATTCTGCAAGATGTCCTGTGACGAATAAATCACTATATTACTTACTCTCTAAAAATGAATTAGTCAAAAATGTCATGGCGAAAAAGCAGCCACTAATAATTCTCGGCAACAGCAATTTGTATCCAGGACATTTAGCAGTCAATTCCTATGAAATAATATTTGCTGAATCCGAAAAAAGTAGAACAGTTTTTGAAATATAATCAATTTTACATATAATATGGAATTGACTATATCTCAAAAACTGATTAACTTGTATAGTTTTTGACGGTCTTTTAAATCACACTGCATATTGAACTGTCACTGCCACTTTCAAAAGCGTTACCATAATAACCAATGATTTGATCCTAATTGTGAAAGGATACAAAACAAAAATCCACGCGCAAATTTTTTGGGTGTTCCGGAAATTCGGGCAAATTGGAATTTTGCCGCGCGATGTCGAAGCCTCCCAATCTCGCAGTAAGTAACGCGTCTGTATAGAATTTAATCTTAAAATTTATAGGACGAGCGATCCCCTTATAAACGATTATTTACACCTTCCGTTTTATAAATTGGAAACGTGCCCCCGAATTTAATTGGCGAAATATTTTTGAAATTATTAATAAGCTCATTAGTGGAATTAATCTTTATTTGTAAATTTATTCTTATCAGGGAGGGTGAAACCATCCACCACATCTCAGTCAAGTGATATAAAATTATTATATTATAATAATTATTTTAATATAAAATTATTGACGCTGACACCTATTAGGACAAATCAGTTTTTTAATTAACAATTTTATGTTTGGCTTAAATTAGGTGAGAGGCTGTAAAAGTTATACGTCGTTATTTTATGAAAAAGTCTTTTGTGTGATGCCAAATTGCTTACCTCCAAGGGAAATAAAAGATAGGGATCTTACCTAAAAGAACGAAGCTTTTTATATTCTTTAAAAAAATTGCTCGTAAAATTACAGAATAATAAGGTTAATTGAAAAACTGATGCAACTTTATAATTCTTTTATTTTTTTTTGTTCTCAACTCAAATCAGATAAGGGTGATTTTCCAAAAGTTGGTCAACTTTTGACCTCATTTTGTTTATATAGTTTTCGGAGAAAATTAAACAGTATTTTGTTATGAGAACAAAGATAATATAATAAATATACTGTTCCAGACCGGGCCAGTCACTTTTGCAAACAGTTTCTGAAATATCTGTGTTAAATTTGAATGCAAGTGACGAGTATACCAGGGTACTAATTAAATACATAATTTATTGAAAAATATAAGGTTTATTGCAACTTTGAGCATATTATACATTAAATATCTTAAAATCAAATAATACCACACATCAGTGGCGGCTGGTGGATTTTGGGTATACCGATATCTCAATTATTAGATATGGGACCCACACCAAATTTATATGAGTTTATAATGACATTAAATAAACAAGTTCTGCGCAAGCAGAATTTAAATTGAAGTTTGCGAAAAAAAGATAACCGAAACATCGAACATGGAACTGACGACATGAATGGGATACAAATTTGAGATTATATTTCGGAATTAAGTATTTTACTGATATTTTTTTTTTTTTTTAGTGGATGCTATTTATCAACAAATCACATCTAGCCTTATACAAATTACAATGAAATATATACGCAAGAAAATAACTACTCACCACAGTAGTGAAATTTTGACTGGAACTATACGTGCATTCACCACAACTTCGCCGCTTGTATTGTTTTCAAGATGACTGTCGTGCAAAGGGCGGGCTCTGTAGGTAATTTTTTACCAACACTTGAGTTAAAACGAGGACTTGACGTTTGAACTTCAATATTTCGCAGGAATTTTGAATTTTAACATTGGACACAGAACTGACGGGTAAAAGTGAGTACAAAGATTATAATTTTTTTTAAATTGCTATTATTCGAATCTATGATAAAATATAAAAAATCTTTTGTAATATACTAAAATATTTACAAAAAATATTAAAATATCTACTCTATTGTCCAACTTTTGTAGAATCACCTATAATTAAGTTGTGATAGATGCTACGTGACTTACGTCTGTCGACCGCCATCTGTCGTTAAAAAAGGTTCGGTAGAGTTTTTGAAATGTACGGTTTAGCGTTTCACATTATTCACTGTGTTTTCTGAATTAGAAAATAGTCGGAAAGATAAAGTTTCATCCACTTTGCCTTTTTACCTTGCCGCAACAGCTGTCGCTATGGACAAAAATTTATCATTTCGGAATATCCGAAAAGTTGTTCTTTTGTTTTAAAAAGAAATCAGGACGTATACAGGGTGTATCATGTAAACTTTTAAACTTATTCAAAATCGTTTAGTAGGTACTATGTTATCATTGATTACACATTGACAGATGAAATCATAAATCATACGGATATGATGGCACATCATAATTTTCTACGCCACTGTGGATAATAACGGCGGTATAGTTAAACATTTATTGTGATTTTGTGGAACACTTAAAAAATAGCTACATGAGCATCAATCGACGTAAAAAGTAAAATGTTGACAATTTTTTGGCGACACCCTGTATACTATTAACATTTGTGACTGAAATGGCGTTTCTTAAACTTGATACATAATATGTCACCTATAATTCAATCCCTGATAAATGCTTGGAATCCGTTTGACAATTTCCAAAGCTCGATAATCCTTTTGAAATTCTAGCATGGTATTGTAATAGAAATGCGAATGTTTCTGAATATGTTCGCTTAGTAAATTGTACCCTTTGTCAGGAAAATGCAGACATTTTCCAATTCTCAACCATTTAGGCATTACTTAAAAATGTTAAGGAACATCTTATAAAATGCATGTCCTGTGTTGCATTCCAAATTGCCGTCTCCTAAAATATCTGCAATTGTTCTATTTGTGTTGCCTTATTTTTAAACTCGTAAAGTATCTAAACATAATTTCCTTTCTTTTGTATCCTGATTCTTCAAGCACTAGACAGCAATGTTAACTACAGTGGCGGCCCGTCATAGAGAATTAAAAAATTAAGTATAATTTAAATATTTTACTTTCTATAGTATCCTATAAATTTTTAATATTTGGATTACATGAATTGTGAAAAAGTCAATAAAATTGATTGATTTTATACGTGGAATACCCAGCAATATTTAAATTATTTGAATTTGAAACGACCGCAATTTAAACTAATATTTATAGCTAGATGATTGGCTCAGAAGCATGCCTGAACTAATTTAGACTCACGATTGGCGTTAGCCTTGTTGTCTCGTTCTATTACAATGCGATATCATAGTTGTCTCCTTCTCTCGTATTAGCATACGCGAGGCAGGCACGCCTACATCCAAGGAAATAAGCAGGTGTTGTGACAACACTGTTGCGGAATTTTAGATAAATTATACTTCACACGTTTTTCAAAATTCAATAATAAAAGGTATTATTTTTTTTATAATAAATCGATTTAATCGAAATTATATTTCTATTTTAAAATAAACATATTTTAACACTATCGCCATCTTGTAGCCATAACAGTAACCAATAAAATAAATACAGATTTCTTCTTTAGGTTTGTTTTGGTTATAAAATTCTGAACTGTTTAAAGAACAAATCTGTGGTTATTTACGCAATATTTTGTTTATTCTTTTTCTATGAGTTTGTCTATTTTATGATTCTTTTGTAAGTGGTTTATTCTGTGGGTTTAGTAAATTTAACTTATGATTTATGTGAATTTAGTCATTATGGATATTACGGTGTGAAATTGTACCGATATTGTTGACCTTCACGTGGTTCTTGCTGAACAATGAAATATTAATTAGACAAAAATGAGGTTTATTTAAAATAAACGTCATTTTTACAATAAAATATATTTCATTGACAAAGTAGAGGATTCCTTCCCCACCACACTCTAAGTTTTTTACTTAGTTTTAAGTATAGGTTGTGAACTGCGACGTCAATTTTTTTTTTTAAGTTGGGTTTAAAAAAAATTTAAAGCAAAAACAGATTCACGGAGGATAGAATCAATTCTTGTAACACCTACATAAAAATTATTTCTTTTAATTTTTAATAATATTTTATATTTGATTCAATTGCTTTGGATGTGTTTAATTTACTTGGTGAACCAATATTTTTAGTATGCTTCTACTACTTCAGATATTTGAAAACATATAGGTTAACCTATAAAGAGTAACAGTCACGGAGGATAGGTTTTAGACTTTTAAAACATTGTAAAACATAATTAAATGCGGTAACACCATCGGGGGACATTTCGTGAGATTCACCCAAATGTGTTGTACCTTATTTAACTTTAACCCCAACTACAACATGTTACAGAATTTATGATATCAGAAAGGGGTGATTCAAACACACAAACACAAAGCATAAATTAATTTAAATGATATTAGATTAGATCCATTTTGAAAATTAGTTAACGATCTCTTAATTACTATCGCTTAACATAATAAAGGCAAGATTCTTGACAGGGTAATTCAATTAATAGTTGTTAATTCTTTAGAAAGAAACAATCTAGCTCAGAAATGCATCTGTTGGGATATCATTGGTGTCAACGAAAAAAGATAATTTTACTTAAAAAACCTTCTGAAATGTTCCTCATACCACTTTGCTTGATTAGCTGAATATTCAACAAGCTTCATGAATATTCATTCATTCAATTAACTGAAGGTTTTATGATTAAGCTTGATGACTTTTTAAACAATTTTCCTTTATAAGGTCAATGAAAACTACTAGTGTTTACAGTTTCATTATTATTTTGGATCGTCAAACATTTAAAGAGTTTTCCTAGTGTAGAACGATTTGGTTCGAGATAAAACACTTTCAGAAGTGAACAGATGTCTGGAAAGAAATAGAAAGATTTTCTGATGCCTGTAAACTTCATCTAAATGGAAATTGCTACATATAGCCTGTCCTCAATTTACAACCACGAAAAGAAACAAGAAATGGGGGATGAATGAATCTCGTGTGTTTATCTTATTTTGTTAGTTTAAAATTGGCAATTAAAACAATGCTGGTTTTGTTCACTTATTTATTTTCAATAAAAATAAAATACATGGTACATTCTTGAAAGTGTTTTGGCGTTGACAATAGTCCTTATTTAAATTTTATTATTTAAAACATTAATATTATTAGGTACATATATACAAATTTACATTTTAAAATTATCACTTTGGTTTTAATCACAAAAAGTGTCCACCCTAACATTTAAATTATTATCAATCACGTATTTGGCAATACTGGAATTAGTATGATGGTTACTATAAGCAAACTGCATTTTGCTATTGAATTTGTAGACGAAGAACTATTCGCGTGCTGCATTGCTGCCGGTTTTTCTTCTGAAAAATAAAAAATGTCTTTATTTTGATCTTCTCCATCTATATACGAGGTGTGTTAAGAAAATTACGGGAATTGTTAAATTTGGCGGGTCCGGTTGTCATAATTTTTTTTATTATGTTGGTATACTTGCCCCCGAAGTATGATAAAAACTTTAGCTGTTTTTATTGTTTACTTTGTCTGTGGCAGCCGCTAAGGTTAGACGTGTTTTATGAGCTCGGCGATTTTCGTTTGTTAAAAGAAATGGATCAAAGAATTTGTTAGTTTTGCTTAAAAAATGAAATAAATTCTGTGAAATGTTAACAAAGGCCTATAGTGAGTCTGCTATAAGTAAAACAAGAGTTAACAAGTGGTATAAGAGGTTCCAAGATGGCCGTGAAGACGTTGAAGATGACGAACGCCCCGAACGCACAAGCACATTAACAACCGATAAAAACATGGAAAAAGTGGAAGAAATGGTTATAAACCATCAGAGAAGTCGCTGATGATGTTGGTACATCGATTGGCTCATCCCATGAAATTTTTTCGAATGTTTTGGGTATGAAACGAGTGGCAGCAAAATTTGTTCTAAAATTGTTAAATTTTGAACAAAATTTTTGCCAAAAACAATACTGTAATGTTGCCCCAGCCTCCATATTCGCCAGACATGCCTCTGTCTGACTTTTTCCTATTCCCAAAAATAAAGAAAACCTTAAAGGGCCGTCGTTTTGCAAGCATAGATGACATTAAAAGCGCATCGCTGAAAGAACTAAAGGATATCCCAAAGATCGAGTTTTAGAAGTGTTTCGAGTATTGGAAGAAGAGCTGGCACATGTGCATAATATCCAATGGGGACTATTTTGAAGGCGACAACATAAATTTAGACGAATAAATAAATATTTGTTTCAAAAAAACGAAAATTCCCGATATTTTCTGAACACACCTCGTACATGTAGACCGTACATTTCCCCCCAATAAAACCAACTAAATTATTTTTTCTCTATTGGGCATGAAAATCAAAAATGTATGTACGAAATCACGAAATAACGTATGTATAAAGTCAGCGTATTATTGAAATTCATCATCGAAATATATTTTAATAAGATCCTTTATGACAATAAAACATCTGGTGGCGTATTTTCGCTCTATTGATGATATTTAAATTTTTGAATTCTATAGGTTATATACAGGGTGATTCACCTAACAAGGGTTTCTATTAAAAAACTAGTAATGTTCTATAGATACTGGGTGAATTTTTTAAAGTATTACTGCTAGGTCGCCTGATTTGACCCCTCTGGATTATTTCAAAAAATTTCACAAAAAAATATTGAACTGTTTTCAAGATATTATCTTGTAACACATTAAAAAACTCGCCCTGTATAATCTGAATTTGAAATTATTGATTTAATGATCCATTTATGACAACAAAACCTATTTTTATAACCCTCGTATAACTTTTATAGATTTGTATGCCAAACAATTTTAATCTCGTATTGCTAATTTTACAATTATGTGACATAATTTGATAAACAAATTGGATGTCAATTTAACAAATAATGTCTATGTTTATCTACTGTTTCAAGTTGATGTAATTATTTTTAAACTAAATTTTAAAAATTAACAGCATTGTAATCACATTTAATAATTAATTAATTATAACGACATGATTATTGCTATTAATTGCTAAATTTGTCTTACCTGCTGTAGCATTCAATACATGTACATTTATTGAGGCTGGAACAGCATTTGAGGGGCTACACGTATAGTTTCCGTTATTACTTTTATCAGCCTCTTTTAAGTGTAAGATTGAAGATGATCTTCCTTCTATAACAGATACGCCAGGATCGTAATTAATCATTCTTTGCTCGTGATACCAAAACACGTAAGCAGGGGTTTCAGTCGAGTATTGAAGAGTACACACCAACCTCAGTAGGGACCCAGACCGTATATGCAAGTCAGGAGCACCCTGAATCTCTGCTTTAGCCTCTGAAACAAGCGGTAAATGTAAATGAAGATGAAATCATTTGTCGGGAGCGAATTGCTTTATGATTTCTTTCCTGCTAACCTGCCTCTTTATGTTGCCATTAATCCTATTAAGGCAACGCGAACACATTTGCTGCAAGAGATTTAAGGGCTTAGCAGGGCTTAGCGCAGCTATTTTCATAATCCTTACTACATGTTTAACCGTCGCTAGATTTTTTAATGCGGAACGCCGCATAAAGTTTCCAAAGACCTTTGGATAAGAATGCATTTACTACCACGATTCAGCATACAAAATTAAGAAAAAAACAATACTAAGTTTGCATTAGTGCCATTTTTTTAAATAAAAAAATCATTAAAATTTGTTGTGTTACGCAGGCACTGAATATATAAGGAACAGCGCAGCATGGAGCAGTCAGTCAAGCTTTGGTACTTGCGACGAAATAAAATAAATAGACTCTTATACAGTAGTGATATATAAATAATTAGTAGTTAAGTGTTTAGTTAGTTTTACAGTTTCTTAGTGTTTTAAGTGAAATGAAGATATAAAATAAATAGTTTAGTTCGTAAAAACGTTACAATACATTCAAAATTATTCTTTCTGTAATTTTGAGCCGGTGGTTGTTTAAATGTATTGTATATAAAATCAGTTTTAATACAGCCTTTTACCCGACACCTAAAAGCGTTTATAGACTTTATTAAACTTTCCCAATAAGTTGTTTATCGTAAGGCTGGCCTGTTGTGACATTTGATTATAACACAGTGAACTATTAGATTACGTATAAGGCCGCCACTGCCATAAGCTCGAACCTCGTTTATATCTTTAGAAAGTGGAAACTGTTTTACAACCACAACTTTCCATTTACGCTCTAGATGTTCGAGATATCAGATTTTGGTTTTATGAATGCCACTATAAGGCTGTTTTATGGCCAAACTTTGTCGCCATTATTATTTGTGTTACTTACAATTTGTTATTTGGGTCGTGGGGTTTTTTTACAAACTAAATATCGAATATGTGCTAGTGGAAATCTTCAGTCATGTGCTTGTCTTACTTACTTGTTACTTTAAGCTCTACTAATATATTGGTGGGGGGGTGTGTTGAAACTTGACACTCATACAGTCCAGCATCAGACAACTGAACGTGTTTTATAAGAAGTCCCCAGTTCTGCAGATGTCGAACGTGTTCCACCAGAAATCTGTCATCTGTATTGTATGTTGCTAAACCAACAGTAAGCAGGTGGTAATCCTGTTTTCTTATCCAGGAAACCTGGAACACAAAAAATAATTAATTTTATCCGAAATCGGCAGTAAAGTAGTCAACAATCGGCAGTAAAGTATGCAACCCATTATACATTTTAATATGTGTCTACTGCTCCTCAGCAGCAACTAAATAATATTTGTGTTTCACCGTCAAATGTCACATTTTTATATTTTATAAACACGGATTATAAAGGTTATAAATCGAAATGTATTTCTTGAAAATTTAAAGTTTTTCACAGTGAAAGTAAAGGAAATGTTTTATGAGGACTTTACAGTGGAGTCCGAATTTAAGTTATAGTTCACTGCCGGCGAAATTAAAAGGTCAGTACAATGTTCATATAAACTTTTCAAATATTGGCAATAATACTTTTGTATTTTTGTACTGAGATAATAAAATAATTTTCACATTTAGTATTATTTTACAAGAAAGGCAATTTATTTTAACGATTGTATGACATTTGACAACTGTCAACTAACTTAAAACTAGCTTCAGCCCGTGACTAAAAACCTGTGCTAACTTCAGCCCGTGACTAAAGTGCCATAAAGTCACAACTTGTCAATGTATATTTAAAAGGTCACTTAGTGTCATGGAAACATGTACGATAAAGGGCGTTTTAAAGGTGGGAGTAAAAAAAGTCATTTAATATGAAAAATAGGACTTTACTGGCTTGATACATAAATAACTATTAAAATAAATTTAGCTTTGTAAATTATAAAAATCGACCCAGAGCAAATATTTAAACTTGACAAATATATCATCGTTTGAAATTTTCAATTGCAATTTAATGCTGATAAATTAGTAAAAACAGAATAATAATTTAATTGTATGACAGCAGCATATTTTATTTTTAATTTACATGTTAAAATGTTTTATACAAATTAATATAAAATAATATCTTTTAACCAACAATTTTCAATTGCAATAGTTTTTTATGTTCTATTTTTGTGCTGGAAAATCTCCTTAAATTAGATGCTACTTTATAAAATTGTTAAGCGAAAGAATAAATCTTAATGGAGAGCCAAGTTTCCAAACAGGACGTATATTTTGTTAAAATTTAAAAGTATAATTTACTTTGTGCCATAATGAAAAATAAATACAAAATCCTCTTTTCTCTTAAATAACTTCCATGGAATTTATTATCAAATTTTCATTTCTTTGTTACTGCTTGTTTGGCTTATTACAACTTTGGTATTTTATTAAATAATATTGCAAGAAATTTATGCGCTGGTCTAGTATTAAATATACCCAATTAAAAATTTAACAAGCACTGAGAATTAAAATTCTTTAACTTTTACGAAGCTTATAATAATTTCCACTACCATAAAGAATGTTTAAAATGAAATTTATGGTCTCAAATACTGTTAAAAATGTTTGTAAAATTACTAAACTTTCCTAACAGTTGCATAGTGAAATTACAAAATGTTGTATTATATACGAGGTGTGTTCAGAAAATAACGGGAATTGTTAAATTACGCGGGTTCGGAGGGTCCGGTTGTCATACAATGTTCTTTATTATGTTGGTATACATGCCCCCGAAGTATGATAAAAACTTTAGCTGTTTTCATTTTTTACTTTGTCTGTGGCAGCCGCTAAGGTTAGACGTGTTTTATGAGCTCGGCGATTTTTCGTTCGTTAAAAGAAATGGATCAAAGAATTTGTATCCAATTTTGCTTAAAAAATGAAATAAATTCTGTGAAATGTTAACAAAGGCCTATAGTGAGTCTGCTATAAGTAAAACAAGAGTTTACAAGTGGTATAAGAGTTTCCAAGATGGCCGTGAAGACGTTGAAGATGACGAACGCACAAGCACATTAACAACCGATAAAAACATGGAAGAAGTGGAAGAAATGGTTATAAACCATCAGAGAAGTCGCTGATGATGTTGGTTTATCGATTGGCTCATCCCATGAAATTTTTTCGAATGTTTTGGGTATGAAACGCGTGGCAGCAAAATTTGTTCTAAAATTGTTAAATTTTGAACAAATTTTTTGGCCAAAAACAATACTGTAATGATGCCCCAGCTTCCATATTCGCCAGACATGCCTCTGCCTGACTTTTTCCTATTCCCAAAAATAAAGAGAACCTTAAAGGGCAGTCGTTTTGCAAGCATATATGACATTAAAAGCGCATCGCTGAAAGAACTAAAGGCTATCCCAAAGATCGAGTGTTAGAAGTTTTTCGAGTATTGGAAGAAGAGCTGGCACATGTGCATAATATCCAATGGGGACTATTTTGAAGGCGACAACATTAATGTAGACGAATAAATAAGTATTTGTTTCAAAAAACGAAAATTCCCGATATTTTATAGTATATATATATATATATATATAGTAATGTTAGTGAAGAAACTTTTAATGAATGCTTAGTAAATTTTAATTAGGTAACACCCTATATACAGATATGCGTTTATAAAACATCGTTTAAATAAATTATTATGTACATCATAGCGTCTATGTAATTTTATACTTATTTTATGAGACGATTGTATAAAATCGTCTATAAAAGAAATCCAAAGTAAGATAAGAAGCGTAGGAGGAGCATTAAGGGGCTTAGGTAGTATCGTTTAAGTTTGATGTTTATTTGATAGCCTGTATGTTTCTAAATAAACATCATCGTACTTTGTTGTAATTTATGTGACCTACTCCAAGAAATCTGCATCGTCTACATTTTTATAACTCCTGGCATAAAATAAAAATGTCCGATTGTAAAATAGTACACTGTTAAAAATTTCTATTGTAATTTTACTAAACATGCTACAAAATTACAAAACGATTAAAATGATATAGAGATAATAGATAATATCTTATTAAATTCCGAAAATGTATAGAAATTTACAAAATTTCAAATTTCAAATAAAGCAACAGCAGTTTGTTAAATGAAGCGAAAGTCTAAAGAGATGAGCAGAAAACGAATAGAAAAACAAAAAATTATTGTCTTACTTACCACTCCAGAGTTGAATTTTCTGACTACACAAGGCAATGTTGCCGTTCCTCCGATTTGGGCCAGCACCACTGTACAATTTTCAGTGACAAATACCCCAGGTTTTCCACTGAGTTGTCCCTTTATATTGCTGACGCCATCTTTACCTTTGCGACGTTCCCCGTAGCTACGTCTATGGCGAAATTGAGAACTGGAAATGTCTGGAAAGAAAATTGTTTTAAAATGTAATGTAAATAATAAAACGTAACTCGAATAATTTAGGCATGCAAAATGAAATAATATCCAAGACGACAAATGGCATGTCTTGGGAATAGCAGACATTTTCCTCATAAGAGTCATGAGAGGAATCCTAATCATATATATTTGTGGTAATATAAAAAATAAATGTATTCTGTTTTTTATTATTGTTTATTATCCTTTAGGCAAACAAACATTGGTAATTTTTTATTTCTGAAAAATGTATTCGGTTTCATGTTTAACACTTGCCTCATAAAATTTTCTCGGTTGTTGTTGGCATAGGGACCAACATATTTTACTTTCTGGTCATATTTTACATTTGTGCTGAATATAAAGTGCTTGATAAAAAATTTACAGCCCCATCAAATTCATGCAAAACAAATAGGTGTTTAAAATTGAACGAAATATGACAATATGTTTATTTTATTATTTTAATAAGTTACTTTGTAAGTAACATTAAAATTTAAAATTGTTCTATGCTCCACACCTCAAAGTCCCACCACGTGACCACGTACGGAAGGCAGTCTTTTAAAAATTTGGCATTTAAGGCTTTTCAGGTTATGTATCTGTCAAAGTATAGTCAACGAAAGAAATATTATTATGTTTAGGCGTTAAAAATGTATAAATCTTTATAACATTACAATAACAATGGATGGTTTAAGAATTTAAGAATATAAATACTGCATTTAATGAAATTCTAAAGTGTATGGTGCCAAATAAGTAATATTTTTATGCATTTGGTCCAAATATCTGGTTTTCTCCATAAAATAATTTTAACTAAACAGCATTTATTTTAAAAAAATCTAGCTTCTCTATTATGGAAAAAGAATATCTGTTTTAAATGTAGGTTAATATATTATAACAAAAATATCATCTAATTTTGTAATTTTAAGGTTAGAAAAATTTATTTTGACCAAAATAAATAAGTATTTTGGATTATTTAAAAGACAGTATAATATGGTATTTAAAAATGTGGTAGTTTTTCTTATCCAGCTTAAAGTGTACCTACATAAAGTTTTGTCAATACAAATAGTTAAAAAGCTTTGACTGAACTTTATCTACATCGAAAAATCATTATAACTTTAAAAATTTTAATAAATCACAAGTCATGGGAGTATTCAATATTTTCACATTGCAAGTTTCTCTAAAAATTGTTTGTTTTCTTAAAATCTAACTTAAAGTAGGTATGCCGAGAGGTATGCACAAGTTTTGTCATTAGAAGTATAAAAGCTTCAATTTTTTTTAACCATATTCAACAATTATTTAGTATACCTACCTATATTTATTTATGACCATATTAACACACTCTTCCAAATAATCCACTAATTTATTTTGGTCAAAATAGATTTTTCTAACCTTAAAATACAAAATTAGATGATATTTTTTGTTCTAATACATTAACCTACCTTTGATACAGATATTCTTATTTCATAATAGATATGTTAGATTTTTTTAATAAATCCTGTTTAGTTAAAACTATTTTATGGAGAAATGAAGACCCAATGCACAAAAATATCATTTAAATTGCACCTTACACTTTGGAATTTCATTAAATGCAGTATTTATATTCCTAAATTCTTAACCCAACCATTGTTATTGTGATGCTATAAAGATTTATTAACTTTTAACGCTTAAACATAAGCGGTAACACTATAAATATTATTTCTTTCATTGACTATACTTTTACAGATACATAACCTGAAAAGCCTTAAATGCCAAATTTTCAAAAGACTGCGTTCCGTACGTGTTCACGTGGTGGGACTTTGAGGTGTGGAGCATAGTACCTGCCCACAATCATCAGAGAAAATAATACTTTTTAAAAATCTGTCATTTCCTTGCATTTGTCGGGTGATCCAATTGCAAAATGCAACGCCATTTTCAAAATCGTCCGTATAGCTCTTGGTGCAGTGTCATGTGATGTGGATGAAATTTGTGCAAATGCAATATGTTCAGAAGAGATTTTTGACTCAGACCAGCATCTCTAGCAAGAAATAAACAAGAACGTGCAGCTTAACATACTTGATAAAAACATTGAAATTATTTTTTAGTATTTTAACATAATTTGCAACTTGTTTATAACTTGATACATAATATACCATTATAACAATCTGAGCAATGTGTTTATAAAAGTAGTATTTTTAAATGATAATCTTTTTGGAGGACTATTTGGTAAAGGATAAAGTTATATCCAAGCTCGATCTCAGTGAGGCAGCAAGTTGACTTTAAAATATGAACTTTTAAAAGTATCATCCTACAGCTTGCCAAATGGAATCGAATATTTGGGCGGATGTGAGATACTAGCGACGAATCCAAGAGCCGATGTTCGAAATCCCCCGTTTTCCGCACTAGCATTTATATCGAATTTTATTTGTTATTTGTTCAAGTATATTACGTTTAGGCTCTTCATAATAACACTTAAAAGGGATTATAATGCTGTATTACGATAACCCACATTAATGTGTTTAGCGAACATTTCAAGAAACCTAAACACCAAAGTTTTAAGGCATATATACTTCGTATGCAAAGTTTTATTTTGTTTTACACCCTCAAGGAATATGTATGTTCCTCATTGTTTAAACATTGTCACTTTAATGCGTTTTAATTTTAATTCTGAAAACAAACAGTAAAATGGCCATCGTTCAATTACTGGTTGGTAAAAAATGTAAATTCTTATGTAAAATTGTCCCCTGAATCCGAAAAAACTATAAAAGTTAAGCAGTTTTTGAGATATAGTCAATTCCATATTATATGTAAAATTGATTATATTTGTTCTACTCTTATAACTTTTGACGACATTTTCGGATTCAGCGAATAATATTTCATAGCAATTGACTGCTAAATGTCCTGGATACAAATTGCTGTTTACGAGAATTATTAGTGGCTGCTTTTTCGCTTGACATTTTTGACAAATTCATTTTTAGAGAGTAAGTAATATAGTGATTTCTTCGTCACAGGAAATTTTGCAGAATAACAGTGATTTAAATACAGTGCATGATAGAGAACATAAAAACTTAATAAATTCGGAAAATACTTTTAACATACCACCCGAAAAAATATTATATATATAAATCATCCTGTTCCGGCCTAAACATTATAAATGCTTCACAAACTAGAGATATACCACTTAATGGTATTTGCAACAAACTATTTCAGAAGTCAGACCAAGGAATTAGTAGTTACCTTCAGAATACAGAAAAGGGATGAGGAATCCGAGAAAGAAATATATGATTTATATGATACTTACAAAAACGAAATAAAAAATTACCTACCTAAAATAGCAATTTATCTTTAAAAAATATTTGACACTTTATGTTATTCTTTGTAAAGTTGTTTATATAAAAATTTTATGTCCAATAACTATGTTCCATGTGTCCAACTACTATATAAAATGTCCAATTACTATACTTTTTTGCATGTTTTTATAAAACTATTATTAAAATTTCAAATATTCTTATTTTTAAGTAAACGTAAATAAAATTTAAACAAACAAATCTAAGTATATAAATTTTAAATAAATAATATTGTCCAATAACTATATGGATTCTATTTTTTGTGACATGGTGCATTAAACATTTTTAATTTGTCCGAAATAATAATTACTGGATTCTGTAACATTTTAACAAATTGGGAAAATTAACTACAGTCACATATTTGTGTAATCAGTAGCATAAAATAAATTTTAATGTAAAATCGCTGCGTAAAATATTTACTATGGCCGTCTACAAAATAAAAAAGCCACAGGGTTGCCAATAACTTTTCTATGACAATTTGGTAGCGCTGATAACAAAAATACCATAATTTTTCTAAATTAGTTTTTGTTTAGATATTGTGAAAAAACCGTTTATTCGATATGCAAAATTCGTATACAGTAATTAAGTAGATATTGCAGCTCAGGTTTCAGATTTTTAACCGCAATTAATTATTTTTTACAATGTTTTAAAAGTCTAAAACATATCCTCCGTGACTGTTACTCTTTCTAGATTAACCTATATGTTTTCAAATATCTGAGGTAGGAAAAGCATACTAAAAATATCAGTTCACCAAGAAAAAACACATCCAAAGCAATCGAATCAAATATAAAATATTATTAAAAATTAAAAGAAATAATTTTTACAACCATTTATGTAGGTGTAACAAAAATTGATTCTATCCTCCGTGAATCTGTTTTCGCTTTAAATTTTATGCAACGGATGGCGCTTTAATCATTTTAAATAAGCAAAACCTCTGTTTACGACATTATAGATGCATGTGATTCCTGAAGGTCATTTAGAATTTATATGCAGATGAGAGTGTTGCTGTTTTATAATTCAAAAGTTTAAGTTCATTAATTTGCTATTTAAAAACCTATCCACCGTGAAGTGTAATATCTCAGTAAGTAGATTTTTTTTATAAATATTTTATGTATGTACAATTGTATTTTTAAAAAAATATTTAGGTGTCAAAAGATCTTAAAAACGAGCAAATTTACCAACATGTGGCAAAATTGCTGTCGATCAGTGTAATTAATCTAAAATTTCCAAGTACCTTAGACAAAAGGTTCAGTGTTATCCACAAAACAATGTAATGTTTTAAGGATATCATTTTTAAAGGTTGAAGTCTTAAAAATGTTATTTTAAAAATGCAGGAAAGCTTTCATCAGATACAAAAGACTGCAATTTTGTATTACAGACCTGTTTTCCTGCAATCTTTTACCTTATAATCTTTATTGAAGCCATTTTAAACATTCCGTTTAGTTAGTGCTTGATGCTACTACTGCATGGTGCAATGGAAAACGTTTTTTCTTATAAACAGGCGAAAGCTTTAAAGAGCTATGCTTTAGTAATTCTTTTAAGGATTCGCTTCGAAAGCTTTAATTAGACGCTTCTATTTTGAAATAAGCACAAATGCACATATTTTTATCCAAAAGATCGTATCTCCATTTAGTTTGCAAGATTATAAAAAAATATCATAACTTAATTAGCGAAATTTTTTATTTTTGTATTAATTTTTGTAAGCTTAAATGTTATATGGGTGAATATATTGAAATACTATTGTACATACATAAAATATTTATAAAAAAAATCTACTTACTGAGATATTACACTTCACGGTGGATAGGTTTTTAAATAGCAAATTAATGAACTTAAACTTTTGAATTATAAAACAGCAACACTCTCATCTGCATATAAATTCTATCTGACCTTCAGGAATCACATGCATCTATAATGTCGTATATATACCTAGGTATACCTATATATATTTTAAATAAGCAAAAACCTCTGCAGAGGTTAATAGAGGTTTATAAACATGTTTATAAACAGAGGTTTTTGCTTATTTAAAATGATTAAAGCGCCATCCGTTGCATAAAATTTAAAGCAAAAACAGATTCACGGAGGATAGAATCAATTTTTGTAACACCTAGATAAATGGTTATAAAAATGATTTTTTTTAATTTTTAATAATATTTTATATTTGATTCGATTGCTTTGGATGTGTTTAATTTACTTGGTGAACTGATATTTTTAGTATGCTTTTACTACCTCAGATATTTGAAAACATATAGGTTAACCTAGAAAGAGTAACAGTCACGTAGGATAGGTTTTAGACATTTAAAAGTAAAATAAAGTAAAGTAAAATGTAAAAAATGATGAGTTTATCAATAAAAATACTTAGGTATATTTAGGTCGAATTATTAACAATTTCGTTTTTTTATCGCTTAACTTAAAACACAGATTGCGTGCAGTTGCCAATTTAACCTGGGTAATTTAGTTATTTTTTTATGTTGCGATACCAACATAATAACTCAAAAGAAACATTAAAGGACGATTTTTCTAAAGAAAAGGTGTAATAAAAACCCGACCTGATAATTTCCCATAAAAAGAATTATTAAGACAAAAAATCAAAAAGAAAGCTAAATGGAAATATTTTTTTTTTCATCTACACAAGCAATAATTGTACTACATAACATTTATATATTTTATTTAGAAAGGTATAATTTACTTACTTCTGGAAGACATGGAGTGTATAATTCCCAAAAAATATATTATTAACACAAAATAAATAACTAAGTATTTGGAAGTGACAGCCATTTTATATCTATTGAAGAACAATTGTTTAAACCATACTTGCACTTAACTAAATACACTTTTATTTATAACTCCACTAGTTGCTATCAAACATGATTTGAAATATATCTGAAACAAAAAATCTTGTCAAGAAAATATACAAACCACAATTCATTTTATTAAAAAAATAACTAGTCTTAATCAAATAATTACTTTTTAACTTATAAGTAATAGGGTAAAGTAGACAGTTATATATATTGGACAATTAATCATCATATTCTATTTATATCCCGGACACTTACCAGCCAATTCTTATGTAAAATTGTCCCCTGAATCCGAAAAAACCGTCAAAAACTATAAAAGTTAAGCAGTTTTTGAGATATAGTCAATTCCATATTATATGTAAAATTGATTATATTTCAAAAACTGTTCTACTTTTATAACTTTTGACGACATTCAGCGAATAATATTTCATAGGAATTGACTGCTAAATGTCCTGGATACAAATTGCTGTTGACGAGAATTATTAGTGGCTTCTTTTTCGCTGTGACATGTTTGACTAATTCATTTTTAGAAAGTGATTTCTTCGTCACAGGACATCTTGCAGAATAACAGTGATTTAAATACAGTGCATGATGAAGAACATAAAAAACTAATGGCAACGAAATTAATAAATTCGGAAAATACTTTTAACATACCACCCGAAAAAATATTCAACTATTTCAGAAGTCAGACCAAGGAATTAGTAGTTACCTTCAGAATCCAGAAAAGGGATGAGGAATCCGAGAAAGAAATATATGAAGCAATTTAACTATTTTTGTTATTTGATGTAAAGTTGTTATGTTTATATAAAAATTCTATGTCCAATAACTATGTCCAATTACTATATAAAATGTCCAATTACTATACTTTTTAGCATATTTTAAATATAATATTTAACACAAAATCACTTAGTTTTATTTATTTTTGCTTTACTAAAATATTTGATAAAGTGTTAAAGGTATTTTAGAAATTCTTGAGGCCTTTAAAGGTTATATACCAAATTCACCGCATAACTTAAATACGTAGCAGAAAAATTCTTGTTTAAACATAAAATATTTATAAAACACAAACCTTTAAAAGTGCATTTACTCCTTAAATTGTTAACACACAAACAATACACTTTCCCGCACTAGAGTGGAAATGCAATTCCTGCGAACAGTAAGAATGTTTATTTCAGCCCTCCTTCGACACCGAACGCGTAACTGCTCTCCGTATCCGTTGCAGGAAAACCACACTGAAATTTTCTTCGTGCCGAATGTTGATTTGAACCGACCGTCAAAATCCATGCGCAACAATCCTGCTGCATTTTCCACGGAACGTGCTATATACGCGAGTTCGTAAAATATTCGCCCAAAATTTTAACTGCAATTCGCAGTTTTCATTATGTTGATGTTTGAATTGCAGGATTTTTTATTGAAATCGTTTTTAAGGAGTTTAACGGATAATGAGATTCAGCAGGAAAGAACATGTTTAGAATATCTTGTTTAGTTTAATTATTATCACCCATTGTAACACAATTGTCAGAGACGTTGACATTACATTGTTACTTTAATGCGTTTTAATTTTAATTCTGAAAACAAACAGTAAAATGGCCAGTGTCCAATTACTGGTTGGTAAAAAATGTAAATTTCTATTATTGGACATATCTCCAATATCATACTCTATTTGTATCCCGGACATTTACCATGGCTGCAGCCAATTCTTATGTAAAATTGTCCAATTCTTATGTAAAATTGTCCCCTGAATCCGAAAAGACCGTTAAAAACTATAAAACTTAAGCAGTTTTTGAGATATAGTCAATTCCATATTATATGTAAAATTGATTATATTTCAAAAACTGTTCTACTTTTATAACTTTTGGCGACATTTTCGATTTCAGCGAATAATATTTCATAGGAATTGACTGCTAAATGTCCTGGATACAAATTGCTGTTGACGAGAATTATTAGTGGCTGCTTTTTAACTATGACATTTTTGACTAATTCATTTTTAGAGAGCAAGTTATATAGTTATTTCTTCGTCACAGGACATCTTGCAGAATAACAGTGATTTAAATAGAGAACATAAAAAACTAATGGCAACAAAATTAATAAATTCGGAAAATACTTTTAACATACCACCCGAAAAAATATTAGATATATATAAATCATCCTGTTCCGGCCTAAACATTATAAATGCTTAACAAACTAGAGATACCACACTTAATGATATTTGCAAGAAACTATTTCAGAAGTCAGACCAAGAAATTAGTAGTTACCTTTAGAATTCAGAAAAGGGATGAGGAATCCGAGAAAGAAATATATGAATTATATGATATTTACAAAAATTAAATAAAAAATTACCTTAAACAGCAATTTATCTTTAAAAAATATTTAACAATTTATGTTATACTAAAAAGTCAACTTAAATACCAGACACCCTGTATAAAATTTTTAAATACCATTAACGTCTTTTGATAGAGTGCTCCTTAGTTATCACCTACACCAAAAATGAACTTTTTTACATAACAATTAGTGGTAATACAGACATGTTACATTTTGGTGGTAATTTGTTCAAAGAATGAAAACAGCTCTAAATGTATATTTTAAATGGGATCGTTATAAAATTTTTAAATACCATTAACGTCTTTTGATAGAGTGCTCCTTAGTTATCACCTACACCAAAAATGAACTTTTTTACATAACAATTAGTGGTAATACAGACATGTTACATTTTGGTGGTAATTTGTTCAAAGAATGAAAACAGCTCTAAATGTATATTTTAAATGGGATCGTTATAAGCGAAAGCAGTATATCCAAACGGAGATGAACCTACATACATATGTACAGCGCTGAACAGAAAATTTAATAAAATATGTAATAAGGAAAATGGCTACAGGCAATCCCATTTGATAAAATAACCAATACGGGGGTATCTTTGGATATAAAGGATTTTTTTATTTTTTCGCCAAATTCAATTTGTATAAAGTGCTCATATGCTAGATTTTAGGTCGGTTATAATTTTGCTAGTTTCAGTAGGTACCTAATTATTCCTTTGTTTTGTTGGAATCCCAAAATAAACTTAATTACATACATATAAACTTTTTACGATTTTGTATTCGCAAATTGTCATTAGGTAAACTATAACAAAACAAATTAAAAAAAAAACAGTGTGAACGAAGATTTTTCTGTGTCAAGTGACACTCGAGGGAAAATGTTTGCCATAAAGTTTACTATTTTAATAAATCCCCAAACATACTGCACCATGTTTTAACTGAAGAAACTGGGTAAAAGTAGTTAAAATTTACTTGCAAGTTTTAATTGCGAACTTCGTTGAAACATCCAAAAAGCTATAAGAACATATTAAATCAGAAGTTGGTAAGTTTTTAAATAATTTTTATATAAGGTTAAGTATACACTCATCGACAGAAAACGTTGCCATGGTAGGCATTTTTAGTGTAAAAATGTGTTCCTCATTTTTGTTTAAACATTGTCACTTTAACGCGTTTTAATTTTAATTTTGAAAACAAGCAGTAAAATGGCCAGTGTCCAATTACTGGTTGGTAAAAAATGTAAATTTCTATTATTGGACATACGTCCAATATCATACTCTATTTGTATCACGGACATTTACCAGCCAATTCTTATGTAAAATTGTCCCCTGAATCCGAAAAGACCGTCAAAAACTATAAAAGTTAAGCAGTTTTTGAGATATAGTCAATTCCATATAATATGTAAAATTGATTATATTTCAAAAACTTTTCCACTTTTATAACTTTTGACGACATTTTCGGATTCAGCGAATAATATTTCATAGGAATTGACTGCTAAATGTCCTGGATACAAATTGCTGTTGACGAGAATTATTTTTGCTATGACATTTTTGACAAATTCGTTTTTAGAGAGTAAGTAATATAGTGATTTTTTCGTCACAGGACATTTTGCAGAATAACAGTGATTTAAATACAGTACACGATAGGGAACATAAAAAACTAATAGCAACAAAATGAATAAATTCAGAAAATACTTTTAACATACCACCCGAAAAATATTAGATATATATATAAATCATCCTGTTCCGGCCTAAACATTATAAATGCTCACAAACTAGAGATACCACACTTAATGATATTTGCAACAAACTATTTCAGAAGTCATACCAAGGAATAAGTATTTACCTTCAGAATCCAGAAAAGGGATGAGGAATCCGAGAAAGAAATATATGAATTATATGATATTTACAAAAACGAAATACAAAAAATTACCTAAAACAGCAATTTATCTTTATAAAATATTTAACAATTTATGTTATTTGATGTAAAGTTGTTATGTTTGTATAACTTTTTGGTAAATAAACCACAGCTTTGGTTAATTTGGATATATTTTTTACCCAGCAAGTTATATTTTACCAAATAAATTTCAAAATTAAAGTAGCCAATTAACACGAAAGTGTTTCTTTATTTTATTGAAGCTTTATTTACTTTGGCGATAAATGAAAATTGGGGGTCTAACTATTTCAAAGTTGGTTGTAATGATTTAAGCGGGATAAGCCACCCTCGCAAATTTGAAATTCCTTGCGCATTCTAAGATGAGAATGATTGGCCTTACATCTTATTTCCGACAAATCCTTATAGCAGTACATTGCTTTTTTAGTTTTTACTTAATTAATTTATGATATTTAGATAATTAAAAAAATACCCATTAAAGTATACACACTCACCCTGTATACTCTTCTTGGTACCAGTATTTTTTACTAAATTTATCATAGACATATTATAATTATACTTGGGTTACTAATAATTTATTATACAATAATTTAAAAGTGTAAACCAAAAACCATTTTTGTGCAAAAATTAAATTACCTCCACTCACCTAAAAGAACTTAACATATTTGATTGGTCAAAGATAAAGTACCGTTATCTTAATTTAAAGCTGCTGCTTCAGAGAAATTCGTGGCAAACTTAAAATCTCATTAAATTCCAAATTTTTCATATTATACTGTCGTTTATCACTGAATGCTCGAAAATTTTCCAATATCTCGGTGATTTAATATGATTTATGGCTACTCCATTACGAACATGTCGTTTTGGTTACGTCTTTTATCCACAAGCTTACACATATATTATTTGTTTTTAATATTTTTATTTGTTTTATTTTATGTTTAAATGATTTAACAATATGATAATTAAGAACAAAGTAAGAAAATTAGGTTTTATTTACACTTTCAATTCAATTATTATTAGTTAAATTTAACTTCTTGGTTAATGAACCTTCTGGTTAAAAAGAGGGTAATATACGAGGTGTGTTCAGAAAATATCGGGAATTTTCGTTTTTTGAAACAACTATTTATTTATTCGTCAACATTAATGTTGTCGCCTTCAAAATAGTCCCCATTGGATATTATGCACATGTGCCAGCTCTTCTTCCAATATTTGAAACACTTCTAAAACTCGATCTTTGGGATAGCCTTTAGTTCTTTCAGCGATGCACTTTTAATGTCATCTATGCTTGCAAAACGACGGCCCTTTAAGGTTCTCTTTATTTTTGGGAATAGGAAAAAGTCAGACAGAGGCATGTCTGGCGAATATGAAGGCTGGGGCATCATTACAGAATTGTTTTTGGCCAAAATTTAACAATTTTAGAACAAATTTTTCTGCCACGCGTTTCATACCCAAAACATTCGAAAAAATTTCATGGGATGAGCCAATCGATATACCAACATCATCAGCGACTTCTCTGTTGGTTTATAACCATTTTTTCCACTTTTTCCATGTTTTTATCGGTTGTTAATGTGCTTGTGCGTTCGGGGCGTTCGTCATCTTCAACGTCTTCACGGCCATCTTGGAAACTCTTATACCACTTGTAAACACTTGTTTTACTTATATTAGACTCACTATAGGCCTTTGTTAACATTTCACAGAATTTATTTCATTTTTTAAGCAAAATTGGATACAAATTCTTTGATCTATTTCTTTTAACGAACGAAAAATCGCCGAGCTCATAAAACACGTCTAACCTTAGCAGCTGCCACAGACAAAGTAAACAATGAAAACAGCTAAAGTTTTTATCATACTTCGGGGGCATGTATACCAACATAATAAATAAAATTTTATGACAACCGGACCCTCCGAAGCCGCGAAATTTAACAATTCCCGTTATTTTCTGAACACACCTCGTGCAAATACCCTATTATTATTAATATTACATTAAATTTTGGTTTTCAGGTTATACGAAAAGAAAAATCAAATTAATATAGGGAAAAGTTTGCTACTCTCAGCAATTTCGAGCTTTTTATGCCGCATTTCAACTTACTAATACTGAAATAATTGCGTT